TTTTTTTTTCCCTCGGGGTGTTTGTCGGTTGGATTGTTCCGTTGCAAAAGGGCGGTGATTGAGGCGCGGGGTCCCGGCCCCCAGATTGTGATGTCTCAGGGGGCGGTGGGCGGGTGACGCAACCCGGGGCGGTGAGCCTGCCCGGCTCAGGACCTGGTCCCCTCCCACCCCTGCCCGCCCGGAGGGGAGGGACCCAAGCCGCGCCCCTTGCCAATCCCGGGGGGCACCTTAGGAGCGGCAAGGACCAGGCTTGGGGGAGGACCAGAGCGGAGATGTGGAGTTGGGAGGTGTCTCTCGTTTGTCTCCAAAGTAGGGGGCCGTGGGTGAAAAGGCCTCTTTCTGGGTTTCGATATTGGGAACCTTTTCTGCGGGGATCCCCTTTCAGAAATGTGACCCTAGGTTCTGGGGAAGAGCGAGAAGCAGTCAGACTGGGGAGCTGGGGAATCCCGCGGCACCCTGCGCCACTGAGCCTCCAACTGACCCTTCCAGAGCCGTCTTTGGGGCTTTCTGGTTCTGAGTTCGCTCTCTCTTCCCACTGTTTCTTTTAACTCTTGAGCGTTCCTGGATCTTATCTCGTTTGGGGCCCAGGGCTCAGACTGGGCAAATAGTCCTTTATTGGTTTTACACACGGAAAACGCCAGGCCCTGGAGTGGTGGAATTTGCCCAAGGTGGAGGAATGAGTTACCAGTGCTAAATCCCAGCCCCCAGCTCAGTGCTCTGTCCCCTTCCAGGACTGCTAAAGCCACACAGAAAATGGCTTTAAATTTGCAGCATTCCAAGAGGAAAAAAGCAGGCCCAGTGAGCCTTTAAACACTTGGGCCTGTGTCCAGCATTGCCCGTTCACGATGCTAAAATACCAGAAGCCAGGATGGGCTCATTACTGTTTAATTAGCACATAATTACGGAGCCCAAGGTTGCACAGACCTGTGTCCTTAAGGTAGGGTTGGTAAGAAGGGTGAGTCTACCTGTGGGCCACCGTCTCCTTGTGGGGCAGAGGGGTAAATAGCCAGTAAACAATGAAACGAGGTAATTGCAGATCAAAGTGAGTTCCAAAGAGGAGAAAATCAATTTCTGGTTAACTGGGTGGGTGGGGGGTGCAAACAGTTCGGCTGCCAATCAAAAGGTTGGAGATTCGAATCCACCCAGAGGCGCCTTGGAAGAAAGGTCTGGCAATACATCTAAAAAATCAGCCATTGAAAACCCTATGGAGCACAGTTCTACTCTGACACACACCAGGTCACCACGAGTCCAGGTCGACTCCACAGCAACTAGTGGTGGTGGGGTTGAGGGGCGGGGGAGGTCAGGAGAGGTCCCTGAGGATGGACATGGAAGCTGACCCTTGTCCGGAGCCCACACTGGGGCAGCCGTTTGGCCAGGGGGGCAGGGGAGACAGGCCCTGGTGGGGTGCCTTTCTGTGCACTGCCCTCTTCTAGGGGTGTAGCCAGGGACAGGCTGACAGCGTTCCCGTGGGAAGGCAGGTCATGAGCAAGAATAGGATGTCTATGTGTGGCACTCTAGATGGCTTCTTCTTGCTCCTTGTTGCCATTTGCCTGATTTCCCACCACGAGTACATATTTTTGTCACCAGGCAGAAAACTAGTAAGCAGCCTGCCCAGGTCGTCTCATCCCCCTCCGGAAACCTGGAGTGAGGACTCTTGGGATGTCATTGGGCTCCTTGATGCATGAGCAGGTTCCTGGGTGCCAAGTGGGCTTCTGGGTGCATAATTGGGCTCCTGGGTACACGAGCGGGCTCCCGGTCACATGAGTGGTCTCCTGGGTGTGTGAGGGTGCTCTTGGGTGCATGATCGGGCTCCTGGGTGCAAGAGGGCACTTCTGGGTGTGTGAGCCCGAGTTCCAGGGCTTGAGGCCTAGCGCAAGGTTATGTCACACTCCAGGGAGCAGTTCGGTCCACATCTGTGTCCCACAGAGCCAGGGTAGTTGCCAGGCATCACCCATTTCGCCCCATCTGCAATTTATTAGTCCTATGTACCTATCTATTGTCAAGTTTATATAACATTAAAAAGTCTTAGCTCTGTTAAGGTCACAGTGCTCCCAGCATATAAAAACCATTATAAACTTCAAATTAAGTCCAGCTAAGAAGTTATGGAGTCCCTGGGTGGTACAAGGAGTTAATACGCTCAACTGCTGACTGAAAGATTGGCAATTCAAATCCACTCAGAGGTGACTTGGAAGAAAGGCCTGGTGTTCTACTTCTGAAAAATCAGCCATTGAAAACCCTATGAAACACAGTTCTACTCTGATACACGTGGGATCACCATGAGTTGGAATCAACTCCACGGTAACTGTTTTTGTTTTTGATTTTTTTAAGAGGTTAGAGTAAATCTTAGCTAAATTAACCAGTGATTATTATTCAAATAGACCAAGAGCATTTCCTGGGCAGGGGGTCTGCATTATGATGTCACAAGGCTGCACGGGAACATAAAGACCTCCAGCTTATTTATTCATTCAACAAATGCTGATTGAATGCCACCATGGCCTGGCCCTGCACTAGGCACTGGGATCAGACAGTGGACAAGACCAGAACCTGCCCATGAGCAGGGGCCCAGCTCTCTGTGGTGTGGCCTGCCCCAGGAATGTGGACCTTGTCCTAAGGGCAGAGCCTTTGGAGGATTTAAACAGGGGTCAGATGGTCCCTGTGGTTGTAGTGTGCGGAAGGGGCCCAAGGTGGGAGGCGGGAGGTTGGACCCTACTGGTTTTATCAGTGGAGGTGAGATGAGAGCCCAGGATGTGCAGACAGATTCTCCAGCAGTTCGGGCGATGGAATCGACAGCACCTGGTGGCTGGTTGAGGAGTTCTGCAGCAGCCTGTCCATATGCTTCTGCCTCCAGTACTGCTGCTTCTCTGTCACACCCGCTTTACTGCAAACTCCTCGAGACAGCCTTGAAAGCAGGGTTGTCTTTGTATCCCCAGAACCCAATACCATGTTCATCACCCAGTAAGTGCTCCATAAATGTTTGTTGCGTGCATGAATTGTGGTTGGTGTTAGCTCTCGTCAAGTTGGCCTCTGACTCATGGCAACTCCATGTACAACAGAACGAAACACTGCCCAGGCCTGCGCCATTCCCGTGATTGGTTGTGGATCGTACTGTGGACCATTGGGTTTTCACTGACTGATTTTTGCAGGTAGATTGCCAGGGCTTTCTTCTTAGTCTGGAAGTTCCACTGAAACCTATTCAGCATCTTAGCAACACTGAAGCCTCTACTGACAGATGGGTGGTGGCTGCACATGAGGTACATTGGCGGGGAATCAAACCTGAGTCTCCTGCATGGAAGGTGAGAATTCTACCGCTGAACCACCAGTGCCCCCATGCATGAGTAGACAAATTATATTTAAATCTCACGCAGCAGTGACTCTTAATACTCATTGGGCCACAAGCTCCTCAAGGGAGTCAGGGCCTCCTTTGTGCCTTAGGAACACCCATTGTCTTTGCCTATCTGCCCATTTTTTTCCTGCTAACCTCTCCCTATCATTTGCCACCTGCCTCCAGGAAGCCTGTGGGACATAATGAGAAGGCCAGTGGCAGAGAGAGATGCTGAGTAACAGAAGGTGTCCGTGCTCAAGCAAAAGAATGGAGGATGTATAGAATATGGACAGAGAGTTCAAGAGGCCAGTCCTGCTTTGGCTTCTCACAAGCTGTATGACCTCAGGCAAGTTCTTAGCCTCTCTGGACCTCTGTACTGTCATCTGTAAAATGGGACTGAGAATCCTTATGTGGCAGGATTGCTGTAAGGGATACATGTAGAGAAGAGATGCTTTTCTTCAGTAAGATTCAGAGCATGTCTACCGGACAAAGGGAACTACATTCTGAGGAAAAACTTCACCTCAACTTAGGAGAGTACCTATGATGTAAAATATTAATGTATTCTCTGGACTTGTATTAAAGTTTTTGGTGTATGGAGGTGTTGGTGTGCGGTTAGGAATTAAAAAAAAAAAAAAAACCTACTTCTCTAAGTAGACAGCACTGGATGCCCCAATTTCTACAAATAAAACCCCTTCATTTCTTCCAGGTTTGAATAGTCAAAGGCTGCTTCCCTGGAGACAGCTCTGCTAATTTTTTTTGCAGACATTAGAACACTAAGGAGCATACATTTTCCAGTAAAGCAAATGAGAAAAACTTCTTTTTTCACCACCAAATGTGAGATGCTGGCGATGTGAGGCTGTGGAGAGAAAAAGGATGTTGTTGAGGGAAGAAAACACACCCTCGGTGAGCTGTTTGCAACAACATTGCAGAAAAAGATTTTTAACATTAAGATTTCTTAACATTTCAGAATCAAGAGCAAACTTGGTTGATGATCATCCTGAGAAAGAATGGTTTAAAAGCCAAAGCTTGGTGTAAATAAAATCCCTGGGCCAGACCATGGGGTCCCGTGCACATAGTAGGTGCTCAATTTCCACAATATATTGTGCACCTATTGTCTGCTGTAAAGGAGCTCTGGCAGCACAACAATTAAGTGCTCTGATGCTAACTGAAAGATCGGCGGTTCGAACCTACCCAGTAGCTCCATGGGCCTGGTGATCTGCTCCAGTAAAGATTCCAAAAACCAAAAAAAAAACCCATTGCTACCGAGTTGATTCCGATTCATAGCGACCCTATAGGACAGAGTAGAACTGCCCTGTAGGGTTTCCAAGGAGCAGTTGGTGGAGTCAAACTGCAAACCTTTTGGTTAGCAGTCGAACGCTTAACCACTCGGCTACCAGCGCTCCTAGTAAAGATTACAGCCTTGGACACCCTGTGAGGCAATTC